AAAAMCCMWTTWWTTYCCMWYCMWTWRRAWTTTTWWTWAAAAAAAAAAGGAAACTGAGTTTCAGGTAGAAGTTTGAATGTCWCAGCGGGACGTCAATTAGGGGGRAATTARGGGGAAGAAAATTCTTTAGGAACTCRCTATTTGARAAAATTTTACTTTCCGAATTTTGAAAATAAAGTRTATCTGTGTATCTGTGTGTATGTGTAGGAATATATACAGTACGTATGTAAACCTTGCATCAAGGGTTCTGTCAGAGATTTGACAACTACGTATTGATGCMATAGGAAATTTCCATGCAAGATAAAAAGAAAAATTCTTTATCTACRTTAYGAAATAAAYAAAAAGATTCTTAGGAGAAATTTTTTCTGTATATAAAAATATCAAAAATACGGATAGACCTGTAAAAAAGAAAATAATGTCAGAATCCGTATATTTATGGTTTTATTAGGGGGAGTGAGTTTGGATCAAATATCAAATACTTTTGTCTACGTTAGAAAAAWAAAATAAAAATTCWCGTACATGTAAAAGAATTTTCTACAGGTAGTAAAAAAAGATACACATACACACATATATGAATAAAGGAAATTTTTGTTAGAATTTGAAAGTTTTCGACGTATACATATTTTGGAATGGTTACATGGAAAACAAATAGTTTCCCCTGTTACAAAATCAAATGAAAATTACGAAGGAAAGTATTTTTGATGAATAGAAAAATAAAATAGGAAAATAAAAATGAAAATACAGTAGTGCCGTTTCGGTAGTTTCGATTGATGTCATTGTTCTCTTAGGGTAGGTTAAAACAAGTATTTCTGAGGACATTTCCTGTCCTTTTATATACGTGTAATATTTTGAAATAAAGGGACGAATATTTTTATGTTAGGTTTGAAAAAAATTTGAAGAATTTGATAGCCGTAACAATCTGATTTAGAATTTAAAGATTTATGGCATGCATTAGAGAAAAAGGGGGTTTACATTGAAAGAAAAAAGTTTTTTCTACGTTACTAAGTAAAATAAAAATTTTAGGAATGAAAGTATTTTTTACAGACAGTAAAATAAGACACGTATGTAAAAAAATATATAATATTCCGACGGTAAAAATTCTCAATTCTGGAATAGTTAGATTGAAGACAAATAATTTACTACTTTCAATGACAACGTTAAACAGAAAAATGCTTGAAATATGAAAATATTGTTAAATCATAAATATTTCTCTTTTTTTTCTCATTTGTTTAAACAGTATAATAATTTAATTGTTAGTTTAAATATTATATAATTATTGTGAATAAACGAAGTCAAAGTATAAAGTGTCAAATTGATTTTAAATACCGTTTGACATGAGCGTACTACAAAAAGTCAAAAAAAAAAAAATAACCGTTGAATTATTAAATAATATATTAACAATTTAACTGTAAATTAAAACAAATATATACATATATGTAAAACAAAATTCGACGAATGATTAACGATAAATAAAAAAAAAAATTATATTTTACTCTTAACCGCCTTTTTGACTTATTCCCGTGTCACGAACACAAGTGTACAAAAAAAAAAACAACTATTAAATTATTAAATAATATATTAACGATTTAAATGTAAATTGAATCGAATATATATGTAGAAAAAAAAGAAATACGAAAAATGATTAACAATAAATAAAGAAAAAAAAAAAATTATATTTTACTTTTAACTGACACCATGACACATTGTCACATGAAATTGTTACTACAGTTTATTTTTCAATAAATATATAATATTTATTATTAATGTTAATAATAAATTGAATAATACTTACGACTATCCTTTATCAGGGATTTTTCTACAGCCTTAGAATCACTCGACATTGTATTTGAACGATAATAAAACGTTACACGTAAAAAAAGATACAAATTTGTATGAATGAAATAAAATTTCACAAAATTTGACAATCTACGTGTGTACTCTGCAACGGTTGCTGTTATATTAAAGTTTTTACTAGCAGCGACCTTTCATCCCCAAAAAATGGATTTAAAGGACTTCAGAATTAACCAATGAAAACGTTCCAACGTCCTTTACAACAACGCCATCTCTTTTTGGCGGGACTAAGACTTAACCTTAGTTCCACCATTACGCAAATGTTTTTTAATCTTTTTTTTACCATCATAGGTAAAAAAAAAAGGTTAATTTATGATTGGATATTAATTTGATATAAATTTTATTAAAAAAAAAGGAAAATAAAAGTAAAAAACAAGAGCCAAGTCATTTGAATGAGACCGTAACAGGTGTTTTTCAAATTGACCAATGAAAACCTTTCAATCGCTCCTCCAGCGCCAGAGTATTTTTTGTAGGAATTAAAATTCTAACTACGTCATACCATTGGATAAATATTTTTTAACGTTTTTTTATTATAAAAAATAATAACGAAGGGAGAATAAATTATTCATAATTGTATAAAAATTTGATATTATTTTTAAAATAATTATTTAATATTATTTATCCGGATTTTATCATTATCCGACACAAGATGGTTCCAGAATTAAATATGGCGGATGTATGAGGAGAAAAGTGAATTTTAGAAATTGTGGATGGTAGAAAAGGATAAGAACATAATACAGTATCCGAACAGAGGATATTTCTAATACCCGTATTTTGTTAGGGTCTACTCCCTCCCCTCTGCCTCCCACAAAGAAAAGTAAACTTCAACATACGCGGCCATATTTACGGGATATTTCTTTTTTAATTTTTTTCTTTTGTTTCTATACGAATTTTTTGTTATTAAATATAATGAACATTTTTATGAATATTTTACTTGGTTTTTATTTTTTTGAAAAAAACAATTTTAATAAACATATGATAACTATAAAATAATAATTCGTAAAGAAATATTACAATAGAAAATAAATATTAGTAATTTTTGATTTTTAACGCTTATTTTTGATATTTTTTTCTTTGCTGTTGAAAATATGTAATTTCGATGTAAATATTCTAGCATTTTGAATTTTTCCGTTGGAATATTAAATATTTTTTTACATACGTGTCTTATTTTACTGTCTGTAAAAAATACTTTCATTCCTAAATTTTTATTTTACTTTATATAAAAACTTTTTTCTTTCGATGTAAACCCCCCCTTTTTTTTTAATGCATGCCATAAATCTTTAAATTCTAAATCAGATTGTTACAGCTGTCAAATTCTTTAAAATTATTTCAAACCTAACATAAAAATATTCGTCCCTTTATTTCAAAATATTATACGTATATAAAAGGACAAGAAATGTCCTCAGAAATACTTGTTTTAACCTACCCTAAGAGAACAATGACATCAATCGAAACTACCGAAACGGCACTACTGTATTTTCATTTTTATTTTCCTATTTTATTTTTCTATTCATCAAAAATACTTTCCTTCGTAATTTTCATTTGATTTTKTAACAGGGGAAACTATTTGYTTTCCATGTAACCATTCCAAAATATGTATACGTCGAAAACTTTCAAATTCTAACAAAAATTTCCTTTATTCATATATGTGTGTATGTGTATCTTTTTTTACTACCTGTAGAAAATTCTTTTACATGTACGWGAATTTTTATTTTWTTTTTCTAACGTAGACAAAAGTATTTGATATTTGATCCAAACTCACTCCCCCTAATAAAACCATAAATATACGGATTCTGACATTATTTTCTTTTTTACAGGTCTATCCGTATTTTTGATATTTTTATATACAGAAAAAATTTCTCCTAAGAATCTTTTTRTTTATTTCRTAAYGTAGATAAAGAATTTTTCTTTTTATCTTGCATGGAAATTTCCTATKGCATCAATACGTAGTTGTCAAATCTCTGACAGAACCCTTGATGCAAGGTTTACATACGTACTGTATATATTCCTACACATACACACAGATACACAGATAYACTTTATTTTCAAAATTCGGAAAGTAAAATTTTYTCAAATAGYGAGTTCCTAAAGAATTTTCTTCCCCYTAATTYCCCCCTAATTGACGTCCCGCTGWGACATTCAAACTTCTACCTGAAACTCAGTTTCCTTTTTTTTTTWAWWAAAAWTYYWAWKGRWKGGRAAWWAAWKGGKTTTT